CAGTTCTGCTCTGGAACACATGATCAGTGTGAGTTAGAATTGACTCAAAAGCAAGTTATCCCTGGGTCATGGAAGGGTGCCCCTATGTACCCAGGAACCTCATGCAGTCAGGGTCCAAAGCTAACCTCAACGTTTAAACTCCAGCATATATAGAACAAATTGACGACCAGATACACTGCACAGGGAAGAGATATTTTATGACGTAGGATAGTTGTTGGATAGGAAAAGGTTGGGAATTCCCTAACATTCCCATTGGCACAATTCCTAACATTGCCCTTCCGGCAAGGTGCCTGAGTCATACACAGGTACCACAGTGAGAGCCTGGAGCAGGGTGCTTTTGGTTATCAGAGTTCCTGTCAGGCCAATTAAGCGGGGATGGGTTTGCATTTCATTAGGAAATTCTTGGACCTGCCCAATTTTAGTCAGCTCCTCTTCCCCCTGGGTGGGGCAGCAAGCTGTATAAAGAGGCGCTCTGCTCTTCAGTGTGCACTATCCTGACGCTTGGTTCCTGATCTACTTTGAGGACGCGGTGAGTTTTATATCTTGTGTTTATCTGTTGACTTGTTGCTCTCAGGTATTTCAATACCTGACGTATTTAAAAAATCTGAAGACAGCAGATTTCGTGGGTCCAAAGTTGAGATCATGAGTTTGATGTAGGTGATGGAAAGCATGGATTGGGGAAGAATGATATACTGTTTTAACTTGGGGTCTGTTTGTTAATTTGATGTCTGTACTGAAAAAGATTTTATTTGATGAAGAGAGCAAGGGTTCTCTCCCTCTATCTCTTTCTTGTCTGGTTTTTCCCTTTCCATTTCTGTTTAGATTCCAATTTGCTGTTATTTAAAAGGCCATTCTATTCTCTCTGAAAGCAGGTTGCTGTCTACCCAAGATTTGAAACCTCATAGGACAGAATAATTTGCATGGTTGCCCAGGGTTTCAGAAATTCTGACTCCCTTACTTGAAGATGTTATTGACATCTGAACATGAATACTTTCTACTTTTCTGGGAAAAGAGAGAAATTTTCCACAGATGGCAAAGCAATTTGCTAATGAGGGAATAGCCAGAACTTTGTAAAAAAAAGAAGTTAAATTGATGAAAGTATATCTTGAGGATTGAAGGGGTATTCTTCAGTGAGTTTAAATAGGCCTTGGCTTCCTTCTCAGTAGGAGCTGGATCCTTCTATGACCTCTGCCATCTAATTTCTTTCAGATTCCTTGAGACAAAGAAAGATGTCCTACCCACAGCAGCAGTGCAAACAGCCCTGCCAGCCACCTCCTGTGTTGTGCCCTCCTAAGTGTCCTGAACCATGCCCACCTCCAAAGTGCCCTGAGCCTTGCCCACCTCCAAAATGCCCTGAGCCATGCCAACCTGTGCAGTGCCCACCTCAGCCATGCCAGCAGAAATGCCCTCCCGTGCAGCCATCCTATCCCCCCCAGCAAAAGTGTCCACCCAAGAACAAGTAACAA